TTTTGCTAATCGCGCCTAAAAACCCCAAATAAAAAGCAAACCAGGTCTGATCGTTCCGATCTGAACCTTCGCTGCGGTTCGAGGTTGCGTGGCTCTCATTGCCGCGGTCGCTCTTCGTTCCAGACAGGTTCCCCGTGTGTTTGACAGTTCGTCTCAAGTGGGCCTCCAACTCTGACTCGTTCCGGTTTTCTATCATGGACAGATGGTCCAGAATCTGCCCACAAACACGGAGAGGAATGAGAAACCCTCGGTTCCCTCACCGACCATCATCTGACACCTAAACCTCCAGGTTACCTTGGCCCCGGTGAGCTTGCAAAGCGTGTGACAGAGGGTCTTCAGGGTCCGGTGTGGAACGTCCGTCTTCAGCTGCTTCAGCTTCTCTTTGGGGAAAACCTTCATGAAGTTGTGGACGTCCAGCAGGATCCGGTCCAGGTTGAGGCTGTTGATGGTCTCTGGGAGGAAGCGGATCATCCTCCACAGACACTGAGGGGACAGAGAGGGTTAGAGAGGAGCGGCAGGGTCAGAGGCCGAGCGGCGGCTCCAGAACTCACCTTCATCACCAGTTCAGACACCTTTGGAGACCCGGCTGTTGAAACCAAGGTATCCTGAAGCAGAACCAGCAAAGCGCTGCAGGACAGAAAGAACGGATCAGACTTGGACCACCAGGGGGAGCCGCACCTCCACTGCAGAACCTAGGACTGACTCCACCCACCTGAACATGTTGTTCTGATCGGAATGCTCCAGAACCCGGATCACCAGCAGGTTGACGGAGCGGATGACCTGTTCCCCGTCCTCCACGTCCTCCACTCTGCTGTCCAGAATCAGCGTGATCAGGCTGTGCATCAGGTCCTTCAGGACGCCCATGGATGCCTCCCTGGCCAGCGTCTCCATGGAGAACAGCTGCCAGAGGAGAAATGTGTTAAAACCCGCCGGCCGGCTGCGTGTCGCCGGCGTGCCGCTTGCGTACTCACAGAAAGCATGTTTCCCATGATGCAGCTGTACAGCTTGATGAGGTCCCTCTTGTCCAGCCGGTCGTCTGCCAGGTGCGTGCTGTTGATGAGCCTCAGCTGCATGATGGTGGCGATGAGCAGCTGGTCGATGTGTCCCGACATGACGTCCGCCTTGTCCTCCTGACGCAGAACCTCGTCGATCTAAGGAGACGGAGGACAGCCGACCGTTTAGACAGGAAGTTTTTAATTTTTCTTTCCATTTAGTGGAGGAAGCTGCTGCACCTGAGCCAGCGCCTGGATGCTGGTACTGATGTCCCCGCTCGCCACCTGAGAGATGACGAAGTTGATGGTGGAGGCGGTGCTGCTGTGGAGGTCATCAAAGTGCGGTGACACAGAGCGCATCCTTTGAGAAAGGAAACCAACAGGAAGGTCAAACCGGGGAACGTTTCCTTCCAAAGAACCCAGCAGAACCGGGTGGACTCACTTTGGCTCCGGGATCACCAGCGGCTCCAGCAGCTCGTCCAGCTTGTGTTGGACCAGGTCCGGCAGCTCGCACACGTTGCTCTGGTCCTGCTCGATCATGTCCAGGTCCAACTGGAACTCCTTGGGGATGGAGGGGTGGTCGTTGTGCTGGGCGTTCTGACGGGACTGGCTGGATGGGCGACGAACAGAAACCCAGTTAGTTCTGTTCTGCAATGATCAGCACCGGTTCTGCTCCAGTTCAGACTTCCACATTTCAGAGCTTCTCAGCTCTGATGTCACTGGTTTTTAAAGTGCTGATGAAGAATAATTAAAAACAGTCACCGTGACGACGGCTCAGCGTCTGCATCTCTGTTCCCCTGAGGTGAAACCCTACATTAACGTGGCCCTGACAGCTTTAAGGTCCGTCTGAACTGGAGCCGATCGGCACTGATCTCAGAGGCCAACATGGTGGACTCCAAACAGAGTTAATGTGCCACAGAACACAGAGGAAGCATAAACATGGCGAGCAGAGAAGAGCTTCCTGTTCCGTCTACCTCGTTAAAACCAGCAGAAAACCGAAATAAGCCTTAAAAAGAGGCGATTGGCAGCTCCATAACTTACAGATGAATCAGAACAAAGATCCCGCTAAAAATAAGCCTCACCATTAGCTTCTGTTACCTTAGATATGCTAGTTTATGAATGCTAACGGTGGAGGTTCAATGGATCAAGAGGGGGGGGTGACCGTTAGGGGAGCTGCTGCTACTAAAACAAATTCAAACATGAGATTTCATTTCCAGACTTCAGCCTTAAAGGAATAGTACACCCAAAACATGATTAGCCTTCATTTTCTACTCACCCCCATGCTGAACAACACTCTGA